CTCTCTCTCTCTCTCTCTCTCTCTCTCTCTCTCTCTCTCTCTTTCTCTCTCTCATGCAAACACAAACTCAAATAATATTTTTAGCCTTCCAAGCAGGGTACCAACGAGGAGACACCATCATAAAATTGAACAAAGTTGACCAATTTTTAAAGATCATCCCACTCACTCAAATCTACAATACCACATCATAGCAATTCTACATATTTTGTACCCGTGCTTTACATCGTCTTCATCAGGAACTCTCACCACTTAAGCTGCCGATTATTCCAGCGAGGGGAGTCACTATTGAATTCTCTGAAATTGCGCTTAGAGATAGAATTTATTAGAATCTCTCTCATGTCCAGCCTGAACATTCAAATGTCATTCAAGTGTCGCGCATTATACAATCATTTTAGAGTCCAATGACTGCTGTCTGTGGAACAAAGTTCAGACTTGAGCTGGGCATAGCGATAAACTCATTTCATAAATCGTAGCTAGATAACTCAACTCAAAGTTCCTGACCTCACCTAACCTGATGCTGGGGAGAGCGAGGGGTCAGAGCAGATGCTGCCCGTCGCTGGTCTCGGATGTCGCTGTTCTGTTGAGCCACACAAGCTTATTTAACCGGGCAATTAGCTAAATGAGGAGCATACGAAAGCTCAAGCCGCACGCTCGCAAAGGAAATGTTAAATTGCTCACGGTGTATGTATGTATTTGCCCATAATGACTACAGACCCTTTCGATCTTACTTGGTTTTCGCTTAATTACAGCAGCGAGAGTGAATTTCACTTGAGCGTAACAGACATTTCACTTAACATTTATGTTGGAGAGAATTACTTGGAGTGGCTCGAGTCGGCGCCTTCTTACATCATCCACTCAACTGGCCGGCTACCCAGACAGTCCAAGCAGTCCAAGCTGTCCAAGCTGCAAGTCGTCACGGCTTACGCACATCCCATGCCAGCTAAGAGCCCAGGCAAAACACATCTATCTTCTGCTCGAATAGTGCTTTACGCTTTCTTGGCTGCCCAAGTGAGCGACTATTTACTTTACGGTATTGCCTTATCAACACGATTACGACAACCATGCAAATCTATCGGCGGACCTAACTCTTTATTTCTTATGAACTACTTAAACAAAATACATACAAAAAAAAAAAACAATTGTTTTTAATGCGTTAAGTGTAGATGGGACTGGCCTAGACTTCCGTCCACGATCGGCCCTCGGCTGGCTTCATGTGATGGCTGCTGCTGGCAAAGAGACCCGTGGATGCATGCGACGCCCCGCCCGAGGCACCCAACGACGCATTCAGCAGCAGGCCCAGAGCACTGCTGACCAGGTGCGAGGCGATCTGCTTGATGAACCCGTTGGAGTCGAAGCCACCCGAGCCTTGGGCTTCCTTTTTCTTCTGGCGCGGCAGCTCAGCGCTGCCGTGACGCTCCTCCGACGCCTCGGGCGGTCGCAATTTCGACTCCAGGAAGGCGCTCAGGAAGTTTTTGGTAAATGTGAGTGGCTGCGGGGGTCCTTCGTCGTCGGGATCCTGCAAAGACAACCAGAACGCAGCTGTAGCCAACACGATTCACTCACAATCCCTCAACTCGTCAATGTTAGTAGCACAAACACAAAACAAAGAACATAAAAAGGCTTAAGTACTGCGCTCAACGAGGCCAGAACGGTTCCCACAAAGTTGCCCAGAAACTGTCCATTGTTTATCTGCAAGGCGCAAAGGAAACGGTCGTTAGAGTGGGATCATGGAGAGCGCGCCGCGACACATACCGCACCGCCTCCCCCAGACAGACCATCGAAGGCCGTGCCCACGTACTGGCCCAGGACCGTGCCAAAGTTCTTGTTGCCCGCCAGCAGGCCGGAGATTAGCGATGTCGCCGTGCTGATCAGCGACTCGATGTCCAGGCCGCCCGGCTGTAGCAGGAAGAGAAAAAGAAACTTGAGCATAAGCGAGCTGCCCCTGCACCCCTCCGTTGCCAAAGCTTACGCCGAAGAGCGTCGAAACGAGGCCCGTGAGTGCGCCAATCAGGGCGCCCACATCCGAGCCGCCCTCGCCCTGCACGGAACAAGAGATGTTGGCATTAATCGTATGGATTGCAGTATTAATCGTGTACTCACGCCACTAAGGCTGCCGATGAGGCCAACGAGGCCGCCGCCCCCACCGCCGCCTCCGCCCGGGCCGTCATCGTCGCCGCCGAGTTCTGCCGAGCCGACGTCATCCTCCTGCTTGGCATTGGTTGGGATTTTGGCTTTAGCTGTAATATTCCGCGACTTTATACGCGCATTAATGAGGAATTATTCAACTCTTCATCAGAGATGGAGGCTTTTAGTTCGATTAATTGTCGCGTGGCTCACAAAAAGACATTTCAGACCCTGATTCGTTTTTGCCTACAATTAGTTTTGTTAGCCAGTAAAGCTAAGACCTGAACGACTATGGGATGGCACGAAGCAAATGTGGGTTCTTTACAGAAGGTTATCTGCTGAATTGAATTTTCCTATAATAATCATATCTGGCTAGTCAGGTTCAGTAGACTAGTGAGCTTATTCAAGTTAGTCACACCATAAAACTAGCTATCACTAAACTAGCGACACTCACAGCGTTTTCCAGCTCATCAAATTCGTTTTCCGACTGCGCTGCGTTATTGCCCTCATCGCTCTTCTCGAAATGCTGCACCACCAAGTTCTCCCGGAAGTCGTCCTGAAAAAGGTTCGCAATTAGCGTATATCCCATTGAACTCAGCACGAAGGCAGCTCACCTCCATCAATTTGGCCTTGTCCTGAAGCATAGCCTCGATCTGGTCCCTTATGTTATCGGGGCTCTTCGCCTCGTCGACTGCCCGCTTGTGTAGGACCTTGTGACTCGCCCTGTCCAGTGGGCCGCCGGCTGTGGCATGCTTCAGCAGGTAGTGCAGGGTGCGCTCTATTTTCGTGTCCAGCTCCGTCTTCATCTGAGGCACCTGCTCCAGTATGTGGCAACGCAGCTGCCCCAGTCGCCTGCCCACCTCCTGCTGCTCCTCGCTGAGCAGCGCCTGGAGCTGCAGCTGCTGTTGCTGCTGTTGCTCCTTGAGCACGCTGTGAACTTCCCGACGGAACTGCTGCTCGTCCTTATCATCGCACAACACGTCCATGACGCTGCCCAGGATTTTGAGGGCTTGCTGATCGCGGGACATTTGCTGCTCGATCGCATCGATCCTTGGCAATATGTCGTTGTCCGGCTCGGCCGCGGTCTGCCGCAGCAGCTCCTTGATGGCCTGTACCAGATGCTGCTCCATTTGCTCCTTGGTCTGGCGGGCACCGTTCAGCAGTCCCAGCCCCGTCAAGGCGCGCAGCTCCTCCGGCGGCAGGCTGCGCTCCAGCCTCCTATAGGCACTGATCGCGCGCACCAATTGCGCTTGCAGCTTCACTCCGCCAGGCCGGGCGCTGGTGCTGCTCCAGGAGCAGGCGCAGATAAGCAAAACCAACAGCAGCAGCGCCTGCAGCTGCCCCGTGTTGTTCATGGCTTGGTCGCTTCACTAAAACAACGCCCAGCTGTTCTCTGCACTTTATATATGACCGAACTGTCCATCGTGGATGTCATCCGTTGCGCTCCGATCCGATCCCTCGATCGCTATGGCTCTGCAAGCTAAATGGTTTTCCGCTTAGTCGCATGTGGGCGTGCCAGCGCCTCCTCCGCCTCTTCTTAAACTCCACCCACCCTCGCTTCACTGCACAATTTATTACATTGGGTAATCGTGTATGGATAAAGCAACAGATATACACATACATATATACACATAAGACATAACTGAGATATAGATATAAGCATTATATTTCTATATCTGTTATGTCTTTTGCTGTCCAGTGATCCATGTCCACATTCGATTGCCCAACTGCATCAAGGTATGCAAATTTCCTCAAGTAAGTAATTATTATTGGAGTACGAACAACATCGGAGATTGCTTAGGATATTCTTATAACTGATCGGGCGGGTGTACAGAGGGCAGAGCAATTCTAGAAGTGTCAGCATTGCGCGATACTCCGCTCAAACGTGAGCTCAAATATCGCAATTATACGCTGGCTGCGACTGTCTCCGCTCCAAGTCACCTCTTGGCCTGCAGTAAACGAGCCAGCGCATCTACTTATGGCAGCCATCTTAATATGTCGCCCCGATAGCCGGTCATTAGACTGTAGCCACTGCCAGTCAACGTCTGGTCTATAAAAAGAGACCCAACAATTAGTGTTTGGCTGTCAATCAATCTACATAAATAACATACATGTATGCATGTATATGACACTAATTGTATGATCTGCATCTGTCGCAATCTCATCCACAGAGCTGCCAAACAAATGCTACAAATTAAAAACGAGCCATAGTAATCTATAAGTCGGGACTAGTCGACTACGAGATTCCCTAAATCCTTGCTTTCATCAATGCTTCGTTTCTTTTCTTCCTTTTAAAGTTCTTAATCGTTATATTTTCTGAGACCAACACGCTCATACTACGGACAGATATACAGACGCACAGACGGGTAGACGGACAAGGCTTAATCTACTCAGCTCGCCTGTTCAAGAATACATATACTTTGTGGGGTCTGCCACACCTCCTTCTGTCCGTTGCCTAAATTTAACAAAAGCAATATACCCTGATTTCAGGGTATAAATGCAAGTAAGATTGCTCTCGTCGGGACTAGTCGACTACGAGATCCCCTAAGCCCTGCCAAGAGCTGAATTTCAATCAATCCTTTCTTTTTATGCGTACATCATGCATCTACACACATAAGCATGCTCATCCTGACCAAGAATATGTATATTTTATACGGTATATACATATATGTATACTTTCTGCCAAGCCCCTTTTGCGTCATACATACATTTTCACAAAAGCAAAATACCCTGCTTTCTCGTTTTTAATGAGTTCGGGATATAATGAATCCACATCTCGTAGACGTAATAATAAATCTTTCTATGAATAAATAAATTGCGGAATACACTAAGAAACTTAGAATTACTCAGAATTACAGTCAGATCTTCTTCGTTGCAATCTCAAAATTTGGTCTTGACTATCTGAAGGAGCCAGAGTTAAGGCTAACGGCGAATTGATTCTACATTTGAGTATTTGAAAACAAAACTGTTGATTATTATTTATTGTTTTCAAACCAGATTTCTGGCCTTTCGAAAATGTTACATTTCAAAAGCATATGACCGACGTATTTGGACGAGCCTAACTATTTCATCTGGGGTCTCAACAAAGCCTAACTGAAGCCTAACTAACAGACTGAGCTTGAATTTAAAGTAAGGAAGAGTTCCAGTTTATGACAGCCTTATAATGTAGGGGAACATATGCAATCCAGAAACGAAATATACTTAGTTATCACATTAAAATACATATACATAGATGATCAGTTATTTGATCTTTACAAAAATCTCTCAATTGCCTCTGTTCAAACATGAACATGTCATATACATAATAATAGAGACATTACTCGATAACCTGCGCGTTATCCGACACAAGTAATAAATATATCATCCCTTAGTTGCAGCGACGAATGCAGCGACTAATATACATATGTATGTAAATCTAACGTGAGCCTGGGCCTAGCGATCTAAAAAAAAGACACTTAAATAAACATCTGTGCACTTGTTTGTATGGGAAATGCATCCTTCCAGTGACTGGAAGTAGTTTTAAGAATCTCTGTTAGGTACATAAGAGCTAGGTTTTTAAGCATTTTAAAACAAACAGTTCAGTTTCAATCTTGAATTCGGCAAATGTGGTGTTGTTTTTATTTAACGGTCTAACAGTCTCAATCAACTATACATCATTATAGTAAATAAATCAGCTGGAATAAACATATGTACAACAATGAGATTTGATATGATTTCTTTTTTTTGTGTAGGTAAGCACACAGGTAATACAAAACAAAAAACCATTGTAAGCTCAAATTGTTATTGGGCTTTCCGCCGTCAAAGGCGGAAGCGGAAATAGCGTGGCGAAGTCACGGTTGTGAGCAATCAGCGTCGGCATCGGCACTTGACATTGCCGAGCCGCACAAATCGCGGGCCACACAAAGATAACAGCTTCGTACTTACAGGCGGCGACGCGTCGATCTGGCTTGTCATTGAAGCTACAGATTTCAATCTCTGAGCGTGAAGTGTAAGTGCGGAGATATCCATTAAAGGGCGAGTAGGTAAACTAGTTTTTAGCCACGCTGAATGAGACCTGCCCAGCCAAATGCACATGACCTTAAGGGCTTTTAGTCGTTCGATCATAAAAATACCAGCTATCATTTACAGGGAATTACCTTAGTATGAAGCAAAGAGATGATCTAGGAAATGATGCAAATAAGTACAAAATATTCCTCATACAAGATCTATTTTATTCGTTACTTGGCATGGAAAATGCACATTAGTCAAAATTATATTATAGCATAAGCTGAATTATATTATAGCATAAGCTCATATTTTGAACGATTTCAACAGGTTAATATGTGAAAATTGGAATGGAGATATAGGTAAAAATGCAAATTTGGATTTGAATATAATGTATGTTCAGATACAAAAGTAAATAGAAATATATGAATGCAAATATTTATATAATGATATAGGAAGAGGTTAAGCTTCAGTTATAAATATATACATAAGACATGTGCAGATGTGCCAATGCACATTGACATACCGATCTAGATTGAAATATACGTATTCAAATACAAAAACTAATACACAGAGATAGAATTCAAGTTTCAGTTAGAGAAACAAACAGATTCATATGAGAAGATAGATACAGATACAACAAGTAAGACGGATTCCGGTACAAATACACTATAGTGCTAAATTTCCAGATCAACAACTCTGCTAGAACAACATCTAGCTGATCTATATTTATATGTATTCAGATACAAAAATTAATACATATAGATATGAAATTCAGTTAATGAGACATAGATAAAAGCGCATATATATATATACAAATGTTAGGTATAAATAGTAATACAAGTACAAATACATTCACAATTTCTAGATCAACAACTCAGCTATGACAGCAGCTGAGAGACGATCGAACAGAGGATTCGTCATCGCGCAAACACTCGTAGGAAATTTCCCCCACGTGCACGAGTATCAAACGAACGAAAAACAAATAAAAGTATGTGAAATTTTCCGCCGCAGTCCCACTGTAATGATACAGTTAACTCAGCAGGTAATTTAGCTTAACAACACCGAATATTAAATACCCTTGCAGTGATGGAGGATTCAAGATCTCAACTCAACTTCTTGCAGCTCTAATATCTCCTGCTTCGCTCAGATCTTTTTTGTCGTCAAAGATGTGAAATCTCTCATGCAATATTAGCTTCAAGCTTCAGATTTTTCTGGAATCGGCAGAGCGTAGCAAACGTCGATCGATGACGCTGGATACCAAATAGGAAAAATAATTTTAGCGAAATCAATTAACAAACAGGCAAAAGCCAGCCTGAAGGCCGCCAGCCGCTGGCTTGACTTGGCCTGAACTAGTGTGTGAATGTGTGCGTGTGTGTGCGTTAACACATATCTTTGTGCAAGAAATAATAACCTTGCCAAATCGTTTGACTTTGTTTTCATTAGTCGCCGAAGCTTGGCAAACCCAAGCAGCACGCTGCAATGCAGCTTGACAAAAAAAAAAAAAAACAAAAAAATCAAAATCAAAATCAAAAAGCAAAAAAGTCATAAAACCAAAAGCCAAAGCAAAATAACAGCAATACATAATATGAAAACAGAAACAAAAAACTTATAATTTTATTGGCAAAATAACTATAAACTTTGCACTGCTCTGAGCAATTTATGATTGCATTTAGTGTCGTATTGATAAGCGAACTTTGAGCTGAGGCCGGAATTAGAGCGGGGCCACACACACACACACACACACAGATACAGAGACAGAGACAGCGAGACAAGAACATATTGCCAACTGATGTGTAATACCCATAAAACCTGAGCTCAGTTGATAATTGTTTGGCAAATTGCTGCAATCTCAAAATTGAGAGCAGCCAATGCTGTGATACCCTATGAAAAACGGCGCTTCAATTGATCAGCTGAATAGGCATGTTCAAATCTATATATTACGATATATGCGTGTTTCAAGTCAAATTTGAAGCACAGACGAGCTAAAATCCTTAGGTATTCCAGCTTCTATTTGGCTAGAGATACGTGGACCTGGTTTCGCCTGTTTCATGCTTACGAAGCACATTCAGCTCATATATACATACATACGTGCATACAGAGACATATACATACATAGACACAGCAGGTGCTGACATCGTGGTCAGTCACGTGTGGCGCCATATCTCATGGCTGCCCCAAAGGGCTGCCAAAAGAGCATAAAATCTGGAAGGTTTATAGCGTTTAATTGCACTGGTTGTGTGTGTGATTCAATCTCGTCTCTCAAATCGCCTTTGAATATCTATGCATGAACAAATTCATAATAATGTCCGCGCACTCTTAATGCTATAGGCCCTGACTGTTCAGGTTTCTGGACAGTGTGCATTAAATGGCCAATTGCCGATTTTGCCATCAGGCCACACGCCCTAAGGCCAAGCTGACTTAACAGTGCAGACATATTCAGATGATTATAGATATATAAAGATATGGATAATTATTATAATTATAGTTGGCATTGAGTTGCACTAGACTTATTTGTGAATGTCGACCAGGCTTATAGAGTTGGTATTCATATCAAGCGATCCGACAGGAGTCCTTTCCGGCTTCTTCTGCAGCGGAGTTTTCTAGCAAGCTGATGCTCTATTGTTGAATGTTACTTTATTATATCTCCGACTGAACCATATTAATCAACAAAAGTTTTAGGATCGCCCACACGCCATTTGCAATAGTCCTGCTTATCTAGCCAAAAATCAGCTAAGATAAAAATATTGAAAGGACATTTTATATTAACATCCATTTATGATTCGTCTAATGTATAAATTTTAATTTCAGATTTAAATTAGACATAATATTTCGACCGAAAATTAAATATTTGCTGTTATATTTAAACTCTTTCTATAATTGTATATGCTTAACTCATGGATTGGTCGTAGTTTTATCTGCTTAGGTTCTATTATACATCCATGATTTAAAATTAAATTATTAGTTTCACAATTTACCCCAATAAAAAAGAGCAGCAAAAAAAAAAAAAAAACATAAACGCCGACTCATTGGGAGATTTGTAATTGAATTTTTTCCTAACAAATCATTTCAATCAAAGTCAGACAGGCCACAGCGAAACCAGATTTCGCAAGTCACTTAGCTATTCTTGGCCAGTCTAATTAGTTGACGCTCGCAGCTGACCCCAAGCGCTCAGCAAGAGCCGTGCAATGTCGCCGACTCGACGAACCGGCGACTTGGACTTGTGGACCCAATGAAGATAATAATACAAATGTTGCGCGACAACTTAAAAAAAAAAAAGAGATCGAACTAGATCGGCTAAATCAATATTACCCTTCATAAGCCCTCTAAAATCTAAAAACCTAGTAAACAATAAATTTCGCTCCTTTCATTTGTTGATCTGCATCATCAAAATTAGTTAATTTTGCCTTGATTGTGGGAGAAGGCAATTTAAGGCAGAAGTGCGTGAGGTCAATTTGCCTATTTAGTATACTGAAGAGTTTCAGACCTAGGCTACTCCGTAATTCATGAGTGCCTTCTAGTGCGGCACGCCCCACTGAATCAGTTGTGCGATATTTCTTTCACACCTCTTGACAACGTTAGTCGGCTGATATTCAATTTGATGTAGCTCGCATAGTTGAGTGCGGCGGGCTCCTAACCGGGTCCAAAACTGGTACGTGGACGTATGTGCCAATCACCCAAATGACAGCCCTGCCCCAGCAACAAGCCGTCAAATTACTCTGTGAGCCTGTTATAGCCTGTAACCCATGTAACCCCAATCAGGCTCTATAGCCGTTGTATTGCAGGTGAAGGCGAATCGGGGACTCTAATGTCCTCATACATATTTGGAGTCTACGAAGTATGAAAGCATTCGCTTAATCTCTAATACCATAATGATCGATGATCGATGGCTGCAGGAGAGAGGAGAATTATCTCATTCCTTGTTCCGTTCCCAGCATAACAACTCATTCAAATCCCTTATCCACATGCACATATTAAACTTTCCGCCAGCTTGAACGAACAACTTTTCAATTCAGAACTCGATTAAGTGCAGAGCGACAAAATGGCCGACTTCGAGTTGTGGCGTTGTCACAAAGCGGAAGTTGACTATCGCATCTACATAAGGCAGTCGATATGTCGAAAGAAAAATGAAAAAAAAAAAAAACTAAATGAATAAGTAGCTAAATTAAAGCGAGCGACATCAAGATCGATTTTGGCTAATTCTCTTTCTGAGTTTATTTGATTGGCTTTGAATGAAAAGCGACTCTGACAAGAGATCACAGTGCGAGCAGCTCTTTACCTTCGGCAACAGGTTGTCTCTCTGTACATGTGTGTGTGTGCATGGTCTGAAGGATAACCAGTTGAGGTAGATACACTGGCCACAGTCACAAAATTTGCTCATGTCGCTGGTTTGGGTTAACGACACAGAACAGCCGCTTGTTTTCAAGATATGCATGGAAAACTACAAATTACGCATACGCCGCATGGGCCGCGCGCTTGGCAACAGCAACAGCAACAGCGCAGGCAGGGCAGCGCAGCTCAGCATAGCGCAGATAAACTATCTTGACGCTGTACGATTACAAAATGAAGGCAGGCGAGAGCAAAAATAAATCCGAATCTCAATCCGAATCCGAAACGCAACTCAAACGAGTCGCAGTTTGAGTCGACCCACAAATGTTGCATGTGTTTGAAATCGGTTTAAGGTGAATTAGATTTTCACACACACACGCACACATATACACGCACGCAGACAAAAGATTGACGAATATTTAGTCACAGCCTGTGCTTTGCATATGCGCAGAATTATGAAATTAGTCGCGGTCTCCATTCGCTGCCAAATCGAAATGGCATTAAATGCAAACTAGTAGCAGAGCAGAGAGGCTGAGGCTGCCCGACTAGCAAATACCATGCAGCCAGAGACGAGCTGTAACTAGAGGAAAGAATATTGATATCCTTTCGTTTGTTCATTGATTCAAGTTGGAATGAAGAAAAGGGAAACTCTTTCTTTTTCAGTGTATGACTATTGGATAAATAAAATTTATTTGTATTACATATTATACCATTTTATATAAATATGAATGAGATATGTTTTCATCATGATACGAGTATATATTTTATTCATTTGCAAAGTAAAAATATAAGCAACAAAACATATGCCTCTGCCGACAACTTTTCAGCGGGTTCAAGGTGCAAACACCAAATGAACTTTAGCGCGCGTTACGTTTTCGTTACGTGACTGTTGAGTTTGGTTTCGGACCCGCACTGCCACGACTGCCGCATCCCCTGCATTTGCATATCAGCATAAGGAAGCTTGCTAATTTACCTATCCTGTGAATGAAAACTCTATGAAAACTTATGTGAGTCCTTCTTCCGAGATGACCAAACTCGTGATAATTTGATGAGGCATTGCGTCTTTAATAGACTTAAATGATGTCGACTTCAAAGAAGCACATCCGCATTTAAAATATATGCAGCATTTCGAAGGACAATTTAATCAATTAGTATTTATATGGCTTTGCATTTGGCAGCTTCACAAACAAACTCAACTGAAAGAACTTTTGCTTAACGAATCAAAATAAATATATAGAAATAAAAATCATATTATGTATGTATGTATATACATATATACATGTCGGATATTTCTCCAGATTAGATAATTTTGTGGAGCCCTTCTTCCTCTTGCTAATCAACTGTCCGATTCTTCACTAGCACGTTTGAATACATCTATCGCAACCAACTGGCAGCCCCGTCAGGACCACACGCGATATTAGTGTTAAATAACATCTCACTCAATCAATATTACCCAACACTATGCATGAACCGATATATCGATAAGATATCTATCTACTATCATAAAAAAATCGATAATGTTAAAAATGTAAGTCCCACAAATGAAATTTGTGAAAAAGTATGTAAGAGGCAGGTAGGTAGGCGTGGCAGGCACTTTCAATCAAGGTAACGAATTAGTTTATCTGACTGTCTACATTAGGTATGTAGACTCTTGTAATGAATACGCGGATTCTAAATATGAATTTTATAATTTAGATGTGTTCTCCCACTCCAACCAATTTAAGACTCACACGCCATCATTATACGTCATTATTGTACTCGGAGCTTGCACCAGGAGACTGCATCTCGAACAAAAGTTAATCAAGTCAATTAATTAACTATTAATTTCCCATAGAACATTCATAATGCAGGCCAAGCGTAGCCGCTTTACAAAGTGCGCAGTACGCGAATGTGTGATTTCGATAGATTTATGCTTACAGAGACAGCTGCTCTAGGCTGAATGGGAGGTGCCTCCCAGTCGGGTACTACTGACTAGCGATTGGATACTTGTAGGATTTGCCATCTCACTTTACACTGCCACAATACATAAAAAATGACAATAGATTTACTATAATTTGTATATTTTATGGGGGAAAAAACAAGATTTTTGCTGTATATTAAAAAATTAAAAATGTTTTAATGAACAGTTATTCTGAATTTAAGTTTAAGAAATAAAGTCAATCTTTCAAAATCGATTTACTAGCCCTATAATCATTGTCCTCGCAGGTTTTCTACTTCACATTTAATTATATTTTCCCATTTTAATCAAATAAAACCCTGATACTCTATAATAATTTTGGCTGTACAATTTGCACGATTTGTAAATCAAGCAAATAATATTTGTGTAATCTGATCAGACACTGAATAGCTGCACTAGATATTACTATGGTGCAATATTCCATTAGCCATACAGGCTGAGTTTGTTTCGCTATTGTGGCTGGAGTCTTGAAGCATGAAAATTATGAATGGAGTAACCCCAAATCAGATAAAAAGCCAAGATTATGCGGCTCATGATATGTTTATGTGGCTGTTTCTGTTTCTGTTTCTGGGATTGGCCGCAACTACTTTTTTGTCATGAAATCTTCAACTTGAAATATGTGCTGGTTGCAAAGGGTAAACATTTTTTTTATGTGTGCCTCATAGTCTAAGCGACAGAGGCGGAAAAACTTTAAAGATGAAACGGCCAAGCTTAAAATAACTTAAATTTTGTTCATTCTTCAATCAAAAAAAACAAGAGCTGTCGACCCCGAAAGATAGATAATAACAATATTCCTAAATTAAATTTGATTCCAACTGACTTTGGAGTATAGAGTCTCTCCTATTCGGCCAGCCAGAGTTCATGCCGAGTGCATTTAAATTCTCATTTAGGTGTGTTAAAACTATTTAAGATTGTTAATTTGAAAGCACTGTTTGGGTCGTTATAAATCCTGTTCGACCGCTTAGCTACAGTCCATAGAGTTAATTATATTATTCATTTCAATTCATTTGGCTATTAAACTGTTCCACTTTTTGTAGCAACATGCAATGATTTATACATATACATATTTATTTATATATTTAGTAACTATTGCTAAGCCGTAGTTTAGCACAGCTTAAGAGCTGAGTAGATGTTAAGACAACAAGCTGCGATTTGTTAAGCTGCGAAAACTTCTCGAGAAAGAGAAGATAGCGGGAGAGGGAGTGAAGGAGAACGACTTGGACTTTATGCACCTATTGTTTTTGATTTTTAATTATATACAGCTCATCTTGAAAGCCCGTATAATTATATGCATACCTTTCGTATATAGCTCATAATTTATGCAAACTCCTACAGAATCTTGCTCGAAAGCTGTTTCGCCGCTTCGGCCAGAGTTAATAACATTATCGAAGCTGATGCGACTGCAAAGGTCCCGCACTGGACACTCGGAATGCGGAATTCGGCTATTCAAAGTGCTTAGACCAATGGGTTGAGTAACTAGTTTGCTGGGGCCTTAAGTGCACTACAAATCGAAAGGTGCAATAAAAATGCAAGAGATGCAGACGAGCCGCAGATGCAGATGCGAATGCAGATGGGCAGCAGCTGCGCAGATTGTGTAAGCCTAATCCTGCTGCCCACAGCCTACGACTAACCATCTGACAGACTGTCAGGCGAAGCAAAGTGCGCAGTTGCAGCCGCAAAGCGGAAATCTCGCTAAGTGCCTGAATGGCTGAGTGGCGGTGGCCGATGGCAAGCGGGCCAAAGAGAGATTCGCGAATGATCCATGCAGGCCCAAAGCCTTCGCTCACATTCCACTCAAAGCTTCCACTCAAAGCGCTGCTCAGACAACGGCGTCTGCTGCTGCTTTTCGGCTTTGACTCACTTTCGTTTTTCAATTTTTTGAGTGCAGCGTCACAGTCAAGGCGTTAAGCGTCTGACGCCGAAACGCGAGCAGCGGCCACCAGCAACAGCAACAACAGCAGCAACAACAACAGCAGCAGCAACAGCTGCTCGCCTCCAAGCGTCTGCTGAGCAGAGCTGCCGCCAGCTGCTGCTGCTGCTGCTCGGTGCTGCTTGCTGCTGGCGTCGCAGTCACTTGCGGCGGCTCAGCGCTTTGTTCGAGCTTTAGTCGCTAGTGTATGATAAAATCACGTTAGTAATCAATTGCAAGCTCACCAGCCAAGACCGCATAGCCAGCGCCAGTTGCAAAAAGGTCCCAAATATTAATCAAAAACGAAAAGAAAACTAAAAAACAATATACATACACATTGAAAAATTTGAAAAAGAAAGAAAAAGCAAAGTTTGAAATCGTATTGTATTTAAACAACAAGCGAAAGAAAAGCGTTTACGTACTCGCCGCCGTTGCTACCCGTCGCCGTCGCACCAAACGTGAGGATATACTTAACACATACATACACTAGCATACACACACACACACATACACACACACACACACACACATAAACGTAACGTAATCTTGAGCTAGGTAAAACAAAACAAATAAGCAACAACAACAACAACAGCAGCAGCAACATTGCAGCTAATGCAAATGCAACAACAACAACAACAACAAAAACAACCGCCAAGCCGAAAATAGTTACAACAAGCGCAAATTCCGCAAGTTTCGCCCAACATACATATCTATTTATATGTATATATATATATATATATATACTATCATACATACATACATGTATCGTATACATGAACCAAAGCACAACTAAATCCAAAAAAAAAAAAAAAAAACCAAGCCAAATCCGAAGAAACGCCTAAAGTTTATGACGAAATTCATTTAATTAAATTTACTCTTTTTGCATATTTAAATTTATTTTATTTTATGTTTTTTTTAATGATTTTTTTGTTTACATTTTTTTTCTGTGCTGTGCATATTTTTTGATCGAAAAGCCGAAACAAAATTTACGCGTGTGTTGAACTGTTTTTTTTTTTACATTTTTTTTTTTTTTGTTTTTTTTTTCGTATTCGGCCTATGCCGTGCCCATACAAATGGATTAAAGGGTATCATAAGACCTTGTGCAGTACGAACGCACGAACAAACGATCGTAACGGACAAGAGACAGACAAACACGATATTCCAGAAACGATATACGATACGATAACAAAAGTTTATTCATGCCAGCAAATTGCCAAAAGCAACAGAGACTTCTAAAGAGTTTATTATGATGGGATGAGCATAGAGAGTATCGGATAAGAGGGGCAAGAGGAGCTTCGACAGAGAGGAGAGCAGAGCTATTTTGCATAGACATTCCAATAACAAAATCTGTGTATATTTACATAAATAGAAAGAAAAAGACGAGAGAGAGAAAGAGATAGAGAGAAAGAAGGGATTCCCCATGTAACCAATTTGGAAATTTTATTATTGTCTATCATCTATTATTTCAATCATTTAAGATAGACAGGAACTAGCAGCGGCCTTGAGATCAAAATAATCTTTGATTAACATATCTCTTAGCTCGAAAGGCGTTATACTATAGCATATATTTAGCATGTTATTATGCAAATTTCAAATACGAAAGATATAGGAAGGCAAGCTGAAAGATTAGAAGAACCGCTATAATAAGAGTGCATCCAATTTAAGCCGAGGTATGCAAAATGAAAGATTTGAAGACCTAAGACTCGATATTTTCCATTGAATAGGTTTAGAGTTGTCTTAGATCTTGTAGAGTCATATTGGAGCAGGCAAATTTGAAGACTGGAGACTTCACTGAAATTCACATTTAGTTGTTCAATCTAAGAATCGCCTTAGCTCTTATGTAAGCTCGAGCAGAGTGACAATTGAATCAAAATAAAAAGTGTTCAAGCTCAGCTTCTCTGGCTTTCAAAGACCCAAAACTCTAGCCATGGCACGATCGCATCATTACACAAATTGTTTGGTCAATGCGAAGCAGCTGCTGCCTCTACCGCAACTGCTGCCTCTACCGCTGCTGCTGCCTCTACCGCTGCTGCTGCTGCTGCTTTAATTGCAGAGAGAGAGACAATTTTTCGAGGTGGAGTACGTGGACAATGACAGGAAGTCGAGGCTTTGGCATTAATTAGAGGCAGCAGCAGATCGCGCCACTGTAACACCAGTGTGCAGCGTCATTTTGGGGTCCGTGTCATTCAAGCCACGCCCTGTTGCAAAATCACCTTCGGGCCAGCCGCTAATCAGACTTTACGGATTTCTTTTTTGTTAGGCTATACCCCTTGAACAGAGTGAGAGAGCGAGGGGTAGCCCACAATTGAGTTGTATTTCTATGATTTTGAATAGATGTTCAAGTCCGTCGAGGATTGACAGATCGCGCGTAGCACTCATAGATACCCCACTCTCTGCGGCACTCGCTAACGAATCAGGCGGTAGCTGCTAGTCGAGCATGCTCGATTTTTATTCACTTTGGCTCTTTGCTCGTATTTATTCAATTCATTAATAGACTATTTACAGCGTTCGGCATATGTAGGTCAGTTTTGAATATATGAATATATGTATTAAGTGGCATTTCAATGCCAGCTGAGCAACGCAATCAGATCAAATATATGGATAGATATGCATAGTAATCGTTGCTAAATTAGCAATAGTAACTACACAGTTGGTCAACTGCTGATGTGCCAAAAAAAAAAAATAAAAAAGTGAAGAGAAAGATGAATATTGGGGCTTTGGCTAAAAAGTAAAAGCAGATACATTAAAAATTTGCTGCCAGATGACATAACCATTGTGGCCGAGACGTCAAACGGGCTCCGTTGTCGTTTATTGCCGGTTTCTGACAGCTCTCGCAGTTAACACTCCACGCCGACTCTGCCGTGCGGTGTTGACAACCTTCACTCTCCCTTTCTACGCTGGCCAGCGTCTTTCGGCTTTGCTCCCTCTCTCGCTCACGCACTCTCTTTTCGCGTCTGTCTCTTTCCCACTTGCTTTGCTTCGCTTCCATTTGGCTCTTGGCGCTACGCCCTACTTAATAGTCGCTGACCGTTGGCCGTCGGCCAGCTAATCAGAGGCCCATAATTCCCGCCTAGATGAGTCGGAGCTCGCGAGGATCCCATCCAGCGTGCTGAGGCGGATGTGGAGCTGCGAAGGTCACTATAAAACCGCCAAAAGGGCATTGATTGAAGTGCACCTGCTAGGCGCATGACTAAAGCCGTCCAGTCTAAGGTCTAGGCCCTTAGTCAGCCATATAGACAGTTTGAGTAACCGCAGCTGAGGCAGTACGATATTTACTTTGATCTCAATGTCAGCTCTCGCTTCCTCCCGCCCTCGCCTTGATTGAAATTTCCCTACTTTTATGACATTGTCAACATTTAGTCATATATTAGTGTGCACAATCTCTATAATTAGCGTTGCCAATTCGCCATCATCATTAGGCATCGTTTAAAATGGCATTGCGACTGTCTCCCGCTCCGTATTACGCTATAGTTTTAGGGATATATCCATTAGCTTTTCGCCACATTTCTTACAATTTTAATATCTTTATTTCTCTTTCGCCATCGCGTATTTAAAAGTTTAGTTTTTCCATTTTGTTGATTTCCAGCGAATTTCTTAAAACTCTGTTTAAAGCTCACACACACACACACACACACAGACACAGTGGAGCACCACTCGCTTAACGCCGTTGGCGTCGCTGTCGCCGTCGCCGTCGCCGCCTCTGCCGACGTCTGCGCTGTCTAAATAAAATTACATAATTCTTATTGCGGCGTTTTCTATTGTTGTTGTTGTGATTTATAAATTGCTTTAACTGTTGTTGTTGCTTGGCTATTGCAGTTGTTGTTGTTGTTGTTGCTGTTGCTGTTACTGTTGTTGTTACTCTTGTTGTTGTGCACACTTTCCACACATAATGCGCATTACTCATACGACGTGTTGCCCAAGAAAGGTTCAATATTTAAACTTGACACACACTCGAACGACACGCCTAATCGAGCCACTTAAACGACAGAGCACGTGTAACGGACATGCGAAAGAATCAAAACCTGGCCACTCAATTTGCTTGCACACTAATTACAGCAACAACAAAAACAGGCCAGTGAACAAGGCGTTAGACCTTGCACCGGCCCTAAACGGAAAAGTAGCCAAAGTCGAGGCAAATCTAGATATTTTGTATTTTTTACTTACATTCATCAAATATAATTCAATGCAAACACACGCACACACACATATATATATATATGCATACACATGTATATGGACACATCCACTAATTGAACTCAATTGAAATATTCTTAGACTCGCTTTTATTTGCGGATAGTTTCTCTATTCTTACCCTATCTATTATCTTGTCTTATCCATTACAGATCCTCCTTTACACTTTGCTATCGACAACAAAATGTGGCAGCCGAGTACACAGCATTTTCTGGCGCTGATCCTCTGCAGCGCCGTCTGCCTGATTAGCGCAAGTCCTCTTCCATTGCCCGCTGGCAATCAGGAACTGGATGTTCTGCAAATTCCTCTAAGTAACGGAAAGGTAAGTCGAAACCTTAAATTCCTTTATCCATATATAAATGGGAATAGGCGAATGGAGGCTGGGTTGCCCTGAATAGAAAGACATTTTCTACTCTACTTACTCCACTTTAATAATATATAGCGAAAGATTTGAGGACATGTTTTGTATAATACGTCGCTATGGAAGGTGGGCGGAAAAGAAAGAGATGGGGATAGAAACGATAAGGATAAGTGAAACACGTACATGATCTTTCATGAGGGGATATCTCAACGTATTCTCTCTTTGAGCAAATAGACGAAATGTGAAGGGTCTAGTGTTGTCAAGGTAAATATCCACTCAAGGATTTTGACTAATAGCGTTATCAGAAAGAAACACTATTTGAAACCCTCACTGAAAGCGTATCCTGGAGATCCTGACACTTTATAAGGCGAAGGTACATAAAAGTAAATGTTCAAAATTTCCAGTTTCTAACCTATGCGACGGACAGACGAATAGACAGCCAGGCGGATGGGGTATAAATCAAATATTCTCTAGAAAATATTATATTAGCTAAACTGGGGCCTTCGGCTTGGCAAATCCAATATACTCCTCTTTACTGCTTGAATGGGTATAAAGGCAGGAGAATGGCTCTGACTAATTGCCACTTGGGTTGTAGCAGAGACTTTAATAGTGGTTGCATAATACAATCAGGAAAATGGATGTAAAAAGTCAGAGACTAGACATAAATTTGAGATGCATAAAGTCCTGACACTTTAGCATTCATATAAATGCGCCGGGCAACAATTCGGATAAAGCGAACTGTAGACGAGCTGCCCATCAACATGGAGCTCGACATTTATTGGGCATATTTGCTAAACACTTCCTGCTTGAGTGTCTGAGTTATGGCAATGATCTTCAGCGGCCCAAAAGTAGCATTTTTCGCTTGGGACGGCGCACGCGCTCACATTACGTATACGTCGCGTGCTCCTGCTGCCCTTTCATGCTGCTGGCGGCTGCTGCTCTGCGCTGTCCGAGTGGCTGAGGCAGGCGAGTGACTTAATGGAATTGGTTGTCCAACAAGTTAGTCGAGCTTGGGCAGCAAATTTTCCTTTTACTTTTCGACTGCTGCTGGAACGGAGGCTGGAGAAAATTCAGGTCTTGGGGTCTATATGCCACTAAAGCCGAAGTCGAAGTGGAAACCCGCGCAACCAGTTTGCCCGATACCAATTGCAAGGAAGTTGGCACACTTGCTACCAGTTTGCACGGCTGGCTTTAGAGCAATGGACCAGACATGTGGCTTGGGTGTTGGCCCAATCCGCGTAATCCCCGCTTCAAATGCGCTCGGCTATGACTGGCTGGCTCTATGCCTGGCTATCTGTCAAAATGTCCACGTACAATCACAGCATTATTTAATGGCCCAAACAATTATGAATTTAGAGTCTATTTCAGACTAATTTTGCTTTCATATTGGACAATTTAATTGCGCTTTCAAAATCTGCAAACGCAAAAAAAGCAACAACAACAAGTAAGAAAACTCTAGTCGAGAGCGCTCGACTAGATACTACCCTGAAC